GTGTGTGTGTGTGTGTGTGTGTGTGTGTGTGTGTGTGTGTGTAGTGTAGTGTAGTGTAGTGTAGTGTAGTGTAGTGTAGTGTAGTGTAGTGTAGTGTAGTGTAGTGTAGTGTAGTGTAGTGTAATGCAGTGTAGTGTATATATATTAAAAATTATATATATAAAATATAATTTTTTTTTATGAAAATAAAAAGACTAAACTTACAGTAATAACTGAAGTACATCTTTGTAATCTTGCTATATCACCTCTTAAGATATTCATTAAAACTGTTTCTGCAATGTCATCAGCATTATGACCAGTTGCAATACAATCTACTCCTAAAAGTGCTGCACCTCGATCTAATGCTTGTCTTCGAAATACACCACAGAATGTACAATTATTTTTTTTGCCAATCTAAAATGAAATAAATATTAAAAATTTATAAATAATTTAATATAAAATTATTATATATACTTCTGCTACAATTTCATCCATTGTCCATCCATATAATTCTTTATAGGATAATATTTTTAATGGAAGTCCATAGTCATTTTTATTCTGTTGGACAGTTTTTAAACTATCATCTCTATATCCTAGAATATAGATTTCATAAAAAAAAGATTCTGAAATATTTAAATTATAATATAATATATTACACAGTACCAGTTATTCCTTCATCAATAGATAAAAGAAAAAGATCAATTCCATATTGGTATTTATTATTTAAAGTTTTCAAAACATATGCAAGTACTGTAGAATCTTTTCCACCTGATGCTCCAATAGCAACTTTATCACCAGATTTGAATAATTTGCCCTGTATGATCGTATTGTGAATTTCACTTTCAAATGCAAAGAAAAAACATTCTTTACACAAGGCATGACCAGTTTTAGGTCTCTATAATTAAAAATATTATTTTATTATATATTATTTATTATAAAATATTAAAAATATTATATTATATATTATTTTTCTTTTATATTTTTTAAAAATATATTACATTTTAAAATTTTAATTAATCTTAAGATTTTAAAATTATTTATAACTCACTTTAAGAATAGCGTCTTTTCCACACTTTCTTGAACATGGAATAGGCATTTTGTTGAATTTTGCACTGCTGCTTTTATATCACAAATATTATAACAAAATTTGTATAATAATTTAATTTACAATTTACATATTTTTTAATAAATGTTTATTTTTCTTTTATTGAAATAACAAAAGTTCATATATCGTGTTACGATTTATTCTTATAAAGGTTATGATAATTTTGCTAAATAATTTATTTTCCTGCAGATAGAAAAATAATAACTTCAAAATATAATTTTATCAGATCAATCTTTATTTATATAATGTAGAAATAAAAAAAAATTGTCAATTTATATGAAAATAAAAATTTTTAATAATGCATATTTCTACAATATGTACGGAACACGTTGTTCATTGAACTATTTAATCTTCTGGTTTTTCTGGTGGTGGACCGCAAGGTTGTAACATTTTTTCCATAAGATTAAACCGGACACGAGCTTTTGCTTCATTTTCTGCGATAGCGAAAAAATTTAGCAGATCATAATGACCCATATAAGAACTGCAAGAATCACGATGTTGATTTACAAGCCATTCAAATTTAGTTGTATCTGCATGGCCTGTGCCAATATACTTCGATTGCAAATGTTCTAACTGACTATGAATATTATATCGTTCACCCATATCTTAATTTTTTAACGATTAAATTTCAATAAAAATATGAATTTATTTTTATTTAAACTTATCGTTTGATGCTTGATACCTTTTTGTAATAGTAAGTTACTATCAACCATAAGTCAAAAATTTATTTCAAATGTATACATATATGTCATATATCTTTTACAATAGAGAGCGTCCTTGTCGATTATGTATATAATGCTGATCTTTCATGTATTTAACAAATTTTAATATAAATTAATATAATTGTAAAATAAAATTATATCCAAAAAATACTTTACTTTATTAATATGTACTTAAAATATATAAAAAATAAATATTTTATATTTTATGATTATAATGCTCATAAATACATGTTATATTATATTATTTATATAACAATAGACAAACAGTAATAAAAATATAACATTGATCTCATATATATATAAATATAAAATATTCTTAAAAGTAAAATATTTGAATTTAAAATTTTATAATTTAAAAGTATTTAGTATAAAATTTTTAAAATATATAGAAATATATATTTTATTTATATTTGCTATTTTCATGTAAAAATTTAATAATGAATACATTTATATTTATATATAAGCATAATAAATAAATTTAATTCAGCCAATTGTATCAAGTATAATAATATTGAAGATTATCCGCATTTTTATTTACTTCATGTTTAGTCGCAAGGGTGCAGCACTTATCGCTTGTTACGTCAGACAATAATGACGTGCTAATGGTTAATGGCTTCTACTTACTTGAGCTACCTTTATGAGAAAGCCAAATACAATCCAAAGAAAATTCATGAGATATGATGCATCGGCTAGTAAAACTATAAAAATATGATTGCCTGAACATTTAATTGTTACGATAGCTATTAATCTTTATCAAATTTTACTCGTGGCCTACGAAATATGTGTTAAAACTGTTTACTGAGCAACGAACGTAACCATTACATCCATCGCTACGTTGGACCAGCTCGATGCAAAGAAATTCAACATTTAGCGTGATATTACAAGATTTATATTGCACGTAAGTACTGATATTATTCATTAATTTATAATTCTGTAAAAAATGGTAACTGATTTTTCTTTGTGAAAAGTGGGCAACTCCCTTGCCACCCAGTCGTTAACAATGGCGGCTATGCTAACTCGGCCAAAAAATTCTATTTGGCAAAATATTCTTCGAACGAACAAGTCATAAGTTTATACTTGGTAGATTTTTATTTTTATTTTAAAAATAGGATAATTTATTAAAGTTTACCATTTTCTATTAAATACATTGTAGAATTTTGATATTCGAAGATACTGTTACGTCGACTAATCTATGCATGTGCATGTTCGTGTGCTTTCTACATACATATATTATCATATGTACGTGTATAATATCCATATTCAGTTGAAAGTATTGAGAATAGGAATAATAATTTTCAAATTTTTATATTATAAATTAATATTAAAATAAATGTTTGAAGTATTTCTTTTATTTATATATTAAAATTGAATTTTACATTTGATGAAATTAAATATAAAAAATATAATTATTTTTTGTTTTATCTCAATATTTTTATAATTTTTATATGAAGTGTAATATATAGAAATTGTCAAATTTAAAACATTCTTATATATTTTATTACATTTAAATTTATGTATTTATTTTTATAGAAAGAAATATCTAAATAATCAAATGATGAATAAAAATATTATTTATCTACATATCAATATTTTTACATTTTTAGTAGGTGACATGCCTAGCGGCCGTGATATTGAAAGAGCTGAACGTAATGGAAGATTTCGATCACGTAGAAGAGGAAGTACTAGCAGTGATATAAATCGACACGGTTTTGAAGCATCTGATAAAAAACATAGAAGGCATGGAAAAAACAAAAGTTCTGGAAAAAAGAAGAAGAAGAGATCAAGAGATAAATCCATAGAGAATGTGCCAACTGTTGCTTCTTCAATTGTTAAACCTTTGGTTGAATATTCAGATGTGAGTAGTGAAGATTTATCTGAACCAGAAGCTGGTGAAATTCAGTCAGAAGATAGTAGAGGTAATAGCTATACAGATGGAGAAGTACCTGAACCAGTTTTACAAAGACGTTATTATGGAGGAAGTCCAGTACGTGCTCTTGGAGCATCTCCTATTAGTCTTTCACCATCTCCACCAGTTCAACATAGGCATTCTAACAGACATTATTCACCAAATGAGCAACAACCTTCAACAATGCATGGTGGAACACCTGAATATGAAGAAGAATCTAGACGATATGCAAGAAGAAAAGAAAAAAACATAAACGAGAAAAGAAAAAGAAAAGAAGCATCAGTCCTTCATCTAGTTCTGGAAAAAAGAAAAAACGAAAGTCTAAAAGACATTCTCGTAGTTTAAGTCCACATCGTATTACAGATGAAATTATTATAAGTCCAGAACATGAAAAACCAGTTGGAAATTGGTCAGAATCACCGCCTTTACCATTAAAAGACAGTACTTCGCCAATATCCCCTGCCACACCCCAAGAACAAAGATGTTTAAGTGATGTAGAACTTGAAATAACAAGACAACCTCGAAATGTAACTCCTCCACCACTTCCTCCAAGACCAACTGAATCTCCCCATACTCCTTTATTACCTCCAAGAACAACAACACCAGAAAATAGTAAAGCAAGTTTGTCCACAATGAAACATACTCCTGAAAGACAGAAGCATAGTCCTAGTATTCATACACGACGTAGTAGTATTAGTCCAGGGCCCACTATTAGCTCAAGTCGTAGGAGACCTCATAGTCCAAGTCCACCATCACGTCGAAGGGACCATAGTCTAACGAGAAGAAGAGATTTCAGTCCAAGTCCAATGGTGCATAGACTCAGGCACAGTCCTAGTCCTTCTACAAGACGGAGAGAATTTAGTCCGAGTCCTGTAAGTCATCGTCGTAGAGATCCTGTTAGTTCTCCATCTTCGAGTAAACGTAGACGACGAGAAGAATCTGAACGACGACATAGACATCATGAAAAAGATAGAAGAGATAAAAGGAATCGAGATCAACTAGAAGTCCTACTGGAAGCAGGTATACGATTATATTATGTTATATGATATAATAATGTAAAATTATATATATATATTTTTTCAAAATAAAATTAATTTTTTTTTTTTTAGTATTGCATTTACCTCTTTCTCGTTCACGTTCGCGAAGTCCCGGACGATGGCGAAAAGTACAATCACGATCTAGATCACGTTCACGAAGAAGAAGTCGTACTCCGAAAAAATCTCGTTCTCCTAGCAAATCACATAAATCAGCAAGAAAACACAAATCGAAGAGTCCACGTCCTTCGAGAATACCTTCTCCTTCTCCTCATAGATCCAGAGCAAGAAGTCCTTCAAGTATTACAGCAAGAAATCTTCGAGTACAAGCAAAGATTAGTGAAACTAGTTTATTTGCTGAACTTGTAAAAGATAGAAATATGAGAGAATTAGCATATAAAAAATTACAAGCAGCTAAGGAAAAGGCTGTTACTCAAGATGAAGTTCAAATTATAGAAGGCACTGACGAGAAAGATGCTAGTAATGCATCTTCCGAAAATAAACCTTCCACTGACAATAAAGACAAATATATAAATCATAAAGAACAATTAAAGACAACAAATGAAAATATGAAACCTGTTGATCTTGTAGATATTCCTGTTCCAATGTCGGATGATAATGGAATAGCAGGAAAAACTCCACCATTACCAATTACACAAACTGTTAATACACCAAGTGTAATACATGGAGCTAATCAGCATCCTCCAATTATTGTATATACTTCGCCTACAACTACAACTAATGTTTGTCCAGTGACTGTTACAAGCAGTCCAAGTTTTCCAGCTGTTACAAATTTGCAAGCACCACCATTACCACAATCTGAGTCTGCAAATGCAGCAGGTTTAGTATCTATGCCAGTGCCTATTCCTGTACCAGTACCTGTTCTACCTAATTTATCTGTTCCACCACCACCCATACCTATACCAGTTCCAGCACCAAATACAGCTATGTCTAAATTTAATCCTCCTAACAATTTAGTTCCTCTTAAATCAGTAGATCCTCCTAAACCTCCTATTGTGGCATTTAAAACTAAAAGTTTATCACGATTACCATTACCACCTGGAATTAATCAAAATGATTTAGAAAGTATAGACTCACCACCAAGTCGATCTCCAAGTCCTCCTAGTAAGGCACAAATGAAATTCCCAGCTTCAACTCCAAAACCACCACAGAAGAAGGGTATTAAAGATTTACCTATGCCACCAGGTAAATAATAATTTTATTGTCATTAATTAATATTTTATCGTTAAATAATATTTCTTTTATTATAATTTAATGTAGTTGTTCCTGGATCGGAAGATTTAAGTGGAGAAGATGATCCAAATGCAACACCACCTCGTACGAAAGTTGAACATGTCCCACCAAAACCGAAATTAAAAAGACCAAAAATTTTAAAGCGTAGAGGTTCTAGAAATTGTCATACTCCTATGTCAACTTCGAGCGGTAAAGATTGGGGAGAACGTTCTGTTGATGTATTTGAATTCATAACTCAAATAGGAGAGGGTACTTATGGACAAGTTTATAAAGCTCGGGACAAACGAGCTGGTGTACTTGTTGCATTGAAGAAAGTTCGTCTAGAAAACGAAAAAGAGGGATTCCCTGTTACAGCAGTACGAGAAATTAAAATCTTACGTCAGCTTAATCATAAAAATATTGTAAACTTGAGAGAAATAGTTACGGATAAACAAGATGTATTGGATTTCAGAAAGGTAATATTAAAATATATGATATAAAAAGTGATATTACATGTTACGATTTTATAGGACAAGGGCTCATTCTATCTTGTATTTGAATACATGGATCACGATTTAATGGGTCTTTTAGAATCTGGAATGGTAGATTTTAATGAAATGAACAATGCAAGCATTATGAAACAGTTATTAGATGGATTAAATTACTGCCACAGTAAAAACTTTTTACACAGAGACATCAAATGTTCTAACATATTGATGAATAACAAGTATGTAAAATATTATATAATTAATGAAGAAAAAAATGGTATTTTTACAATTTGATTATATAATTTTTATAGAGGGGAAGTCAAATTAGCCGATTTTGGACTTGCGAGGCTTTATAATGCTGAAGATAGACAGCGACCTTATACAAATAAAGTGATTACTTTATGGTACAGACCACCCGAATTATTGTTAGGTGAAGAACGTTATGGTCCTGCAATAGATGTATGGAGTTGTGGTTGTATTTTAGGAGAATTATTTTCTAAAAAACCATTATTCATGTAAGAAAATAACAAACTTTATTTTCGTCAAAAAAAAAAAAAAAGAAAAGAAAAGAATAATAAGTTATTGTTATTTTTATTAGGCAAATGTAGAAATGATGCAATTGGAGATGATTTCCAGAGTCTGTGGTACTCCAACTCCTGCTGTTTGGCCTTCTGTGATAAAACTGCCATTATGGCGTACCTTGAAACCAAAAAAATCACATAGAAGACGTTTACGAGAAGATTTTTCATTTATGCCAGCACCAGCTCTGGATCTTTTAGACAAAATGTTGGAATTAGATCCAGAAAAACGAATAACTGCTGCTGATGCGCTTAAAAGTGCTTGGCTGAAAAATGTTCAACCCGAGCAGTATGTTTTATTGTATTTGAATATACTTACAAAAAGAATATTATTTATGTTCATTTAATATAGAGAAATGAAAAAAAAAATAAAATTAAAATAATTTTCAATAATAATATTTATGTAAAAATATAATTGAAAAAGATATTAAAATTACAGGAATTATTATTACTATTTTTTAACTATTTTTCTAACAAATTTTAGCTATTATCTGTTATTAAAATATATATTTTTTAAAAAATTAGAATGCCTGCGCCTCAGCTTCCAACTTGGCAAGACTGTCATGAGCTTTGGAGTAAAAAACGAAGACATCAGTTACGAGATCAACAAGAAAGTTCCGCCGGAAAGATGCCTCTTCTTCCGCTTCCAAATAAAGGAGGTCCCCATAAGGCTATTGAAGATCTATCTGATGTCGGGGGGTGAGTAGTCGTAGAGAGATATTCGCACAAACTGGGACGCGATTCAATACTGACCAGATACTAATTGCTTACACACGTAGATGGCTGTGTACTGCAGTTGTGCTTGGCATTTATTTTCTTAGCAAAATGCGTTGTTAGAAATCTTATTTAAAGAATGAAAACATAATTGTTGTAGTATCTTATTTTCATCGTCCGTTTGCATGTGACTTTCAATAATGGATAAAATAAGTTAATTTTAGTTTGATTCACAGTCGTTCGAACACGACGATGGCTATAATGCAGAACAATGGAATATAGACACACGAAAATGTACAACAACGTTCTTTTCATGGGTTTACTACAGAGATTACTTTTTAATACTTCATTTTTCAAATACATGAAAACATTTTGAATGCATGTATTTGGAAGAAATACAAAATTTATAGCGATTATAATAATGATTATAATAATATGTTTCAATAAGTAGAAAAAATATTATTATCATAATATTATCTTAGTTCTTTTAAAGTGATATTAAATATTACTTGATTTAAAGAATATTAGCATTTATGTAAAAGGAAAATACGTATTCTGTCTTGTAATGTGTTTGTGATTCAATTTAATTGGATGTTCTTGAAAACTATGTGAGCTTTAAAATTATGAGATATTTTCTATATCTGATAATATATGACCAATAAGTAGATACATATTACATATATGTACATATTTACTGATCAATGTGAACATACATATGCATAAATTATGATATGTTTGTGAAAAAGAAAATGCATATATGTACAATTTTCTATCACAGTTAAATATATGCATTTACATAATTCAATGTATATGCATATAATTATTAATATCTATGATTGTATCAGTGATATAAAACAGTTATTTTCAAATAATGTTTAAAAAAAATATATAATAGGTATGATTGTAAATAAAAAAAATCGGGATTTAATGAAATTTCGTATGTTAATTTTCATATTAAACTATTGAACATTAAAACATCTACAAACGCATGGAACGATATATAAAATGAATGAGCACAGGATATAAGCGCAAATAAATGATCTTTATAATATTTATAAAGTCTTGGAGTGTAAATAGGTCTAATGGAATATAAATGGATACTAAGAAGAAGATGTTGGAAGATTGAAGACAATGGAATACAAGGAGCCAAGACTAAAATGTGAATGTATTACGTGAAATATTAACATCACGGCCTTCGTCATCGACATTTCATTTTATTTATGTTAATTCAATTTATTTGAACATTCACATCTATAGATTAGGCATATTTTAATTGATCATATTTTCTTAACTGTGTTAGAGTTATTCCGTATTGTAGATAGTTATCATAAGTTTCAATATACGAATGGCAATTTTTAATATTTGTTAACTATTCATGTTTTTGCATGTATTTTGTATTAATGCCATTCTTATAATGAAATTCAGAGTTTAGAACAACCTGATGTATTATCGTCACAATGTAAAATATTATTGATTTACTGTAATATAAAATATTTACTACATGTCCATAGGCATTTGCCTAACATTTTCATGGACAATGAATTTCTAATGTTATTAAAATATTTTATCATTTAATTTGTTTAGTCCCTTTCAATGTTTCTATATCTTTATTTATAAATTAAGTAACCATAATCCTTTATAAAAGTTATATCTGATAGTGAACACTGGGACCTTGGGAATGAATGATAATATCAATATACATGATTATACTTTTTCAAAATAATATGCATAGTACATGTTATTTTTCTACTTATTCCACAATAAGTTCGCATGGATATTTAATACATTTGTTAGTTTAATGTCTCTTTATTTTAATTATAATTTAATTATTCGTAAAAAAATAAAATAAAGAATTTCACTTTTTCATAAATATTGAACAGCATTATATGATAATAGAAGAATCCAAAGATTCATGCAATTCATTTTCAAATAAAGAATATTTCATTATAAGTTTTGTATAATTTTCATCAATTAATAATTAATAACATACAAAGTAGTTTTAAAATAATAGAATAAAATAAATGTTTATAAATTTAATAAACTTGAATAAATATTAAATAATTGATCGTATACAACAATATGTAAAATAATTTTCTTGTATAAATAATTACAAATTAAATATATTTTTTTACTTTTAACTATTTTATTTAAAACAATTGTAATGATTAATTAAAAAGGTGATGCTTTCTAAATAAAAATACAAAATAGTATAAAAAGTTCTGTAGTAAGTAATATACCAATCATAGTAATCAAAGATATAAAATTATTGTATAATAATTTAATTTCTTATTATAGATATATTTGTAATCATCATTTTTATTAGATTAATAGCTAATATTCTACATTAATAACACAATTTTGTATTATTAATGATATTTAAATGTTACAATGTATAAAATTTGTTAATTATGATCAAATTTATGTTACTTATATTAATCAATTTCTTAAATATTAATATTTCCTTCTTTTCATATTGTATATTTAATTATTATATAATTTATACAAAGTACAAGAATAATATATATAAAGATATTAATGTATATAGAATGTAGAATATATAAATAAATATATAAATATTTTGATACATAATCAATTATTTTATCATACAATGTAAATATATACATAACATATGCATTTGATTACATATATTTCTATTAAATCATAATAATGCTGTACATAATATAGATATTATATAATTTATTATATAATTTAATATATTCATATTATATTATTGATGATAAATTATATTGTGGAATTTGTAGAAAAAACAATATAATATTTAAAAAATATAAATATAACAAATAATTATAAGTAAATACAAATTGGCAAAATATCTAACAAGAAAAACAATTATGTTTCAGGAAGTAATGTTATTGTGGCTGAATGATAAAGGGCAAATTTTATAGCACTTATAAGAATATAAATAGGTAATAAATATTCTCCAAATTTGTATAATGTATGTTTATACCCAGGGTGTCCAGTTTATTAATTCACATAAGACATGGTTTTGTGTATCATATAACATATGCGCTTGGGCTTTATATACTAAAATAAAAAAGCTTAATATTCTCATGCAAGAAAGTTGAGGATGCAGTGAGAATTGAATAATCAAATTACAATTCTTATATTTATGATCTTTTATAGAATTGTTTTGTCATTTTTCTTCACATACGAATATAAGTAATATATAAATAATAAAATATATAATAAATTGTGAAAAATAAAATTTACAGAATATAAATAAAGTTGATATGCTATGCTTATTAAATTGCATGTATATCTATATGAAATATTGATTCATTAGTTTTGCTTTTATTCAGTATGCACGTTCATGAAACGTCTTTTGCATGATTTCTATTAATTATGAAACAAGTGTTACTATAGGATATTTATGTATCGTTGTCCATTTTAATAATATTTATGAATTTTTATTTATTTTATTAATTTTTCTTAAATATATTAATATCATTAATATATTCTCAATTTTAAGAAGCATTTCTTCCATTTTTATATAGTATAAATTATTATAGAAGATATTTTATAACTTTATAATATTTATAAATTTTTTATTAAATATATATTTATTAATTTATTTATATGTTTTTAATATAAAAAATATATATATATATTATATTCAATAAATTTGTTTTAATATAACATTTTGATAAATAGATATATTTATTAAAACATTTGATTTTTATTTTTATAATTATTATAATATGTTTTTGACTTGATTTCAGATCTTCCAAACGTTTAAAAATGGAAGCAGGTTACAATTCTCATCCAAATCGTCTCGGTACGGAATCCCACTACGGAGGAGATAACTTGTTCAACCAAAGCAGACCTTATATGGTTTCATCACCATCATATTATTATACTAGTCCTCCACCTGTTACACCACGACCTAAGGGAGATACTAGACCTTATATGGTCTCATCACCATCATACTTTTATGTTAGTCCACCACCTGTTACACCACGGCCCAAAGGAGATACTAGCTCTCATATGTCAGAATTATACACAGAAGATAGTCTTGTTCGAAGATTAAGTTTACTCACAAATGCATTAAATCAGGGAAAACCAATTCGTGTTGAAGATCTTATGTCACTTCGATCAGATAATGAAGTGAGTATATTTGAATTAATGATGAAATATTTTTTTAAATATTTCATTTTTAAAATTTTATATGATTATGATATTATATAAAATACAAAATTATTATATTCCTATAATTATTACAATTCAAATTACAGAGTGATCCAAAAGTAATACAATTATTAGGAGAACTACATGCTGAACTTCGACTTGCTGCAAATTCAAGATCAAGTGGACTAATAGAATCTCAGCTTCCTGTATTAAATCCACCACTTTTAGGTGAGTTTATTTTTTATGCACATTTTTTTTCTTATATTTGTAATATATTATTTTTTTATTTTATTTTTTAGATACAAATGCAGCACAGTCAGGAAATTTTGATGCACATGCAGTTTATGCTGGTGATGATGCAATGAGTTCTGGAAGATGGTCACAAGTGGCAACAGCTGGTGTTCGCAGTGCATTATTAGCGCTTATGTCGCGCTATGGTTTGGAAACTTGCAATCCTTCCCCTGTTATCACCCGACCCCCAGGTAAACCAATATCCAACCTAACACAGAACCTTTCCTTACCCTCAACTTCCTCTCAATCAGCATTCAGCTCATAATGATTTGTATATATAACTCTTTACAGCGTTCTAAACTATGTTCTGTATAAAGTTGGAAAAAGGTCTAAATTGCTATTTTTTAAATTAACTAGGCATGGAAGTACAACTGCATCCAAGTTGTTTATAGACTACTCTCTGTTCATAACTGTAAGTGCACATTCGGTGTATACTTGTATATAATGGATGTATTATTAATACGTGACCAGTTACTTAATATAGTACTTGTATCTTTAATAATAACAATATGCTCTTTATAGTGCACACTTATGCGATATATGAAATAAGAGCTTTAAAGTTTATATTAAATTAATATTTATCATTTTATCATTTCTGCATACATAAATTTCTTTTTTATATAAAAAACATTTAATCTATGTGCATACTATGAAAAATTCAAACAAAATATTTGATTTATGTAAAGATACTTTTATCTTTTTTGAAACAAAAAATAATTTGTTTTTAAAATACATAGCGTTTATTACATGATAGTTTATGTTAGGTGATATTTTGTTATATGGAATGAATTCGTTAAGAAAAAAACAAAAACAAAAAAACAAAAAAAAACAAAAACAAAAAAGAAAGAAAAAGAGGACAATGAAGGTATTTTAAAAAATTAAAATTGAATACGTTCGAAATGTTTATTTGCTGCATAAACCTTTTTTTATATACGATGTTAAATCCTTATTTATTATAAAAATATTTACGGGATGTGTAATGTACATAATGTCGAGATATAATAAAGAGATAAAAGTACACGATAGTAGGTTTTTTTTAGGACAGGTAAACTAGAAAGAGCAGAAACTAATTTTTAATATATTTTGATATATACATATTTACAAATTAACGATATTATGAATAAATTATTTTTATTTGGTTAGATATATACTTACGAAATTATGTAAAATGTTTTTTTCTATAAAAGAATAAAATTATAGCTTTCGAAGCTCAAATTATTTTTGAACGTAATAAAAACAGAATAAAAAAAATTAACACAAGTTTCACGAACGTTTCAGATTGAAGTGATTCCAAGAAAAACACTGCGAAAATGAGGTTAGGAAGTGTGCTTCTATACCGGCAAGCTGTATACAATGACCATATCATGGCGGTTTGTGCTGCGATTTAAAAAGAAACTATCGACACGCTGTAGATTATTCAGTGAAGTGATCAGCAGTATGACATTGTGGGAATGAATAATAAATTATTTGTTTTGTTGACTTTATTCGATTCTATACTCGGTGTGATAATAATATACGTAATAAAAAAAAAAACAACGAATTAATTAACAAAAAGTGAGAAAAGGGGCAGGGTATTGAGTTGTTCTAAAAAACGATTACCTAACCTCGTTTATTTTACTGATGGCTTTGTCAGATGTTTTACAATTTGATTGTTTCGTAGACAATGAGATTGCGCGAAATGCTACGAAGAATTTTGCTGGAATGCTAGGGAAAGCATTCGAACAATATAAAAGTAAGTATGTATCATATTGTTTTTATATCGGTAATTGACATTTTTTTATTTATATTTCTTTTTATAATTATAAAAAATTATATTTACAAAATAAAAATTATTTAATATTGAATTTTTTATGTGTTATAATTAATTATTATATTAGTTACTTTTTGCGACTAAATTAAAAAAATTAATTTTTTTAAAAATAAAATTTTTATGAAATAAAAATTTTGTATATTTCAAAATTTTATTATTGTTTTAAATATTGTATCATTACTTTTTTAATATAAATTTGATAAAATTTAATTTAATTACTTGATTTAAACATTAGACATCTTATATTTACAGAATTATGGAGTGAATATTTAAAACTACGAAAGCATTGTGAAGATGCTGATTTTAAAATTCCATTTCAATTGCTTGAATCAAATATTTATGATAATAAAGCTGTGTAAGTTTTGGTTTTATTGTTGATTTATAATTCTAAAAAATTATATTATAAATGTTATTTTCTATATTTGCTATTAATAAAATAATATATATATATTTTAATTTTTTATATTTTAGTACTGCACTTAATCCAAGCAAAATATCAGAAAATAAAAAAATATTTACATCTTTGTACAACAATGTTTGTACCAGTTCTAATTCTGATATTGATGCAAGTTTAAATGATAGTATTATAAATGATAAATTTATTGAGAAACAAATATCAGAAGAGAAATTATTGCAGAGTCCAATACTTATAAAGAAACGTTCTAAATCTAAAAAGACCAATATTACAGATAATAATTTTATTCTAGAAAATTTTGAGATAAATGAAACATATCCAAATATACCAATAAAAGAAAATATTTTAATATTAACAGGAAATAATTTTAGGGAAGATACAATACTTGAGAAATCACAAAATAAAATTTCAATTAATGAAAATAGTAATGATGAGATAAAATGTACACCTAATAAAATATCAAAAAAATTAAGAATTAATACATTATATAATGTAGATACCACATTATTACAAAATGGTAAAAAATTGAGACAGACAAAACTTATGTTTCTTCCAGATACACAATCCATTAATACTGCAACTCATGAAAATTCAAATATTTCAAAAGTACATGCATTATCTATATCTAAAAAAGACATAGAAAAACTAGAAAATTATAATAAATCTATAGAAGAAGAAGTAATTCAAAATAGTCCCAAAAAACATATAGAATTAAGTTCAAAAATAAAATGTTTAAAATTGAAAAATAAAACCTCAAATAAGAAAATAAATCAATCTAGTCTCAATTTATTATCTGTAGAAACATCTACACAATCAAAAATTGATGGTAATATTTTAAATCCATCCTTTTTTCAAACAATTTCAGATATTAAATATTCTGAAAATAAAAATTTATCAACTCCAATAAAAAAAATTAAAACATTAGAGATAGAAAAAAATATTACACCAACAGAAAAGAGAAAATATCCAGAATTAATCAATCAAATGTTTGATACCAATTCTTCAATATATGATGAAACGTATTGTCTTTTAGGAGAAAAAATTAAACAAAGACCTTATGATAAAAATGAATTAAAAGAAAATAAATTTGAAAATAAAAAGTCACCGGAATATCCACCTATAAAGAAATATTTTATGGATAGTTTTGATATGTAAGCATTATTTATATAAATTCAAAAAGTTTTAAAATATTTATATTAAACTTAATATATTTTTTTTAAGAGTTCCTAATAAAAAAAAAAACAAGAGAATAAATTATCAAAGAAAAGATTAGAAAGAGAAAAAATGATTGGTATTACTTGTTGGGAATGTGAAAAGGTAAGATATATAATTTGAATTTTTAATATAAAAAAGCAATTTAAAGGATTAATTGAAGTAGTATTAAATATAATTTATTTCTTCTTATTGCTGCATATTAAAAATTTAACTGTAAGTTATTTACATGTAAAATAATATCTAAATTTAAATATAAAAATATATATATATATATATGTGATTAAATACAATTTAAATACTTTTTATTAAAAATTATTTTTTTCTTTTTTAGTATTACACTAATCTTGGAATTTCTGAGGAAGAAATAAAAATGAGACGAAATAAGTGTTCTCGACATAGAACTATATATAATGAAAAAATTAATACACCTGAAGGTAATTTAATATTGTTTTATATTTTTAAAAAAATAAAATATACTTAAATTTGATAAATGTTAACATATTTTAGGTTTTTGGTGTCCTGTATTTCCTGATACTACTTTTCAATCTACTTTCCCAGATTGAAATAAAGCATGATATGCTTTTTATTTATTATCTTATAAATATCTTACAAATAATTGTTTATTTTAAAAGTTATATTAATTTTAAAGAATAATAACATAAATGTATAAATATTTCTAAATATGTAATATAAAGTTTATAGCTCAAGAAAAGATAAATAAATTTGAAGAATAAAAATGTATACAACATATTATGATTTGAACATAGAGTGATTTATTATATTATAACACATATAGTATTACATTTTGAGTAACATAGTATAGATTTATATATTATTTCATTTTATATAGACTCATTCCTTTGCATAAAAATATAGAATCTTTTATATGAATCTGTATTTAAAAAATGAAACTAATGAAACTAATGAAACTTATCCTTTGTCAAACAAACTTTTATGTTGAGTTCACAATATATATTGTATTAATTTAAAATGTAACCTATTATAATTAATATTTTTAAATTTTTGTGATTTAATTTGATATTTAAACTATAAAATATTCAGATGTAGAAGCAACATTAGAAAATAAAATTATTTTTATACTTTATATTATTTTGTTTAAAAATTTTTTTAAATTTTATTCATTTGCGATATCTAATAAATATATAGTTAATTCATAAATTGTAATTTAGTAGAAAAATGAACTAATAAATAAAAATATAAAAAAAACAATTAATGTTAATAATCGTACTGCACAATAAAAAGAAGAAATCTTAAATCAATTTATCCTGTAGGAGGCTGGATCTACAGAATAAATAATATCATTTTAAAGTATAACACTTCCACAACTATCAATACCATAATTTATGTAAACATGTATGCGTTGTATATTTTTTTTTCTTTTCTTTTTTTTTTTTTTTAACTATATCTTCACATTATTTTCATAATATGATTAAATATTTTATTCACAAAGTATGTTCATACTAACATTTTCACGTGATTTAAAATATTACGTTTATATTAAATGATCATATTTTAACTTCACATTGATAAAATATTCTTAAATTTTTCTTTTTAGATATTTTTATAATATTTTTTCTTTTTAATAATGATAATACTTAATTATAAATTGAATATTGTGCAGCTCGATCATTTTTTTTCTTTACGCGTAGAAAAGAGACTGATAAATATGTAATGTTTCTTGCAATTTTTTTTATATAAAACATTACATTTAACATTTAATAAAATTTCATTTCACGGAAGCAACATTCATGGCCATCCATTTAAATCCATACTTTTTAGAACATGTAATAATAGTATAAAAATTCTGATTTCAATTTCTAATGTGGGGATCTCAATTCTCGCATTTTTAATTTTAATAAAAATTTAATTCAAATTTTGTATATTTTCAATTAAAGTTTTTATAGAGAAATTAATTTAAAAAAGCAGATACAAAAATTTAACCAAATATTAATAAAAAAAATTAATCATATATGACATAATCAATGTGAGCACCAATATTATATACATTTGATAGAATTGACTCTGAGATAAATAGAATTATGTTAATTATCTCATAGTATTTCTTGACATCTTATTTAAAGCTATTGTAAAGCACATTAGAGTAGATTTGTTTATAAGAAAAAGCAACTTAATTCAATGAACTAAAATTTTTATAATACATATGTTATAAATTCAACAATAAAATGAATTATAATATAAAGACTGAGCTACATAATAAAAGAGATAAATATTCATTTTATGATAATAAATGATATCGAAACTTGATAAAATTGTTCGCTATAAAGATTATTTCCGAAGACAAGTTTATAAGAGTACATAGTATGAATGATTCCATTATCAGCCGATATTTAGAATTCCATCGGTTGCATAGCTCAGTCTTTCAAGTCCATATACTTGTACTTGATTATCCAAGTAGGCCGTAGTCAAACGAGATGCATAATAAATATAGATTACTATAATAAATTTTTCTTAAAAATAATTATTTGATAATATAATTTATATATATATATCTTATATCAACTGAATAACAATATATAAATAAAATATTTAAAACTTAAAAAAGTTTTCAAATTCGATATTTATATAATTCGATTTTACAACAAAATATAATCGAAATCCGTTAGAAGTTTGTAATAAATTTACTATATATTCAAAAGTATAGAAAGAAAAAGTTATGAAAAACAAAAAATATAATTTTAGATTTTTAATGCGATTACGGTCGACTAAAAATATTTGATTATATTTGTCCGGTGGATTATTAATTAATTCTTTGTCTCTGCTCATTGCGACTGCTTTTTTCAATTTGAATCAAATCTTACTGATGTTGTTTTATTGAAGAATTATTTTCTGGAAGAGGAGATTTTTCTGTAGGAGGTACAGGTAAAGCCTTAAGAATTGCATGTACTTCTTCCGCCACTGCCATGAGAACGAATTTAAATTGTTGTTTTGTGGCAACCATATTAGGTCTTTGATCTCTTATGTGTTCTAATGTAGCTGCAATATCAATTTCTTTAGCTCCTTTCATCATACGATTCAAGACCATATCGATTAAACAATAAGTTCCAGTACGTCCTGCGCCATCACTATAAAAATTATGTTTCTCATTATTCTATTAGATGAATGATATATCAAATGATATTATTAATTATTTTTCAAAAGATAATAATGAGGGTTTCTCATTACTCTTCAAAGATTAGACTTCAAAAGATAAATATAAATAATATGTCTATTTTACCTGCAATGGACAACTATAGGACATGATCGACCTTTGTAAGATTTGTTAATTTTTCTAAAATTAAATAATAAATATTAGAATAATGTTACATTTTATGTAAGTACAAATTTAAGTATTTTTTAAATTTATATTATATTATATTATAGAATAATAATTTACCGGCGGAATTCAAGAAGTGCTTTGATGGAATGTGGTATACCATTTTCGGGCCAAGATAAGAAATGGAATTGCGTTACAGTTCTTGTTTCGCCAGTACGTAGATTTTTCAAGTAAAAGGAACGCACCAAATAATCATCACACCAAAAATGCTCGGATACAAGATGTACCTCGTAGATATGATACAATTCTGATCCTTCTTCAGGCCAATAACGATGACACATGGCGATACCCTCTTCGGTAAGTCTAGTTAGCATTACGATTACGACACTGCCTTGTTCCCAAACTAATTGCCAAAAATCAGCTGTTGTTTCTGGTAATGGTCCTTGTGTAGCGATATAAGCTGGATTTCGAGGATCATGATCCGTCTAAAGAATATCAGATTTGTTTGAAATAATATTTTTTTATCATTGATTTTATATCAAGAAGCAAGTCACACGGCTTTCTTGAATATATAGCAAGCACATTTTTTATTTTTTAAATTATTGTACGTGCGATTTTTGCGATTTTTTTATATTATGCAGAGATAATTTAAACTTTGCAACATAATCAAAACTTTCTATTATTAAATTTTATATATATTAAAAGCTATTTTACTTGAATTAATATCTAAACTATACAGTGCATGTTTACTGTTTTTCTGAAATGAAATTTTATCATAATATGGAGATATAAATTTATAGTTAAATTTTGAATGTAAAAATAATAAGAAAAGTCTATATAAATATTTTTATATGGTTTTTTGATTGCATTTAAATATTTATTTTCGTTCATCATTTCTTTACTTAAAATAGCAAAAATTAAAAATGTTTAATAATAACATTATTATTAATGTTAACTATATTAATGTTAAGTATATTTAAAAATTGTTTCTAAAATTGAGATTAAAAATTGAATACAAAATTGATGAATATTTATATGAACTATTTGATTGCTTTTTATAGAATCATCTTTAAAATTATATCTACACTTATGATATCTTCAAATCATGCCTCAACTAATATTATTTAAAATTCGAATATCTACGCGAAAGCATTGTTAAAAAAGCACTGCTTTGTTATTGAAACTATACGTATAATAATAAATTTTTCATGCTTGTCGTGTGACTTACCGATTTCTATTTTGAGTTCCATTTTCAATGATTTTAAGATAAAAACCATGTATATATTATTTTATTCGGTATTTATATCCTTTTTAAATTTTAAAAATCTTAAATCATAAATTTAAAAAAGAATACTTACGATCGTGGAAGCATTAATATAATCGGAATTGTTGGCATTAGCAAGATCATTTAGAATCACCCTGGAATGATCGTAGGGAATCGCCGCGCCAGGACGATTACATTTGGTATTTACTTCATTTTGCGCGATTTCCGTTGAAGAAGGATCTACCTCATACGCACATAATGCTGCCCATTCTTGATCTAATCGATCTTTATTTTTTAAATGATCTTCCATATAATTCTAGAAAAATATAAAATGAGATTTTGATTCATCTTTATTATATGTACACAAATATACATGTATCTTTTATATTTTTTTAATATCTTCTTTTAATAGACTTAATTTTAATAATAATATAAAAATTAAAAATATAATTGATATATTTAGAAATATTTTATTTATCATACCAAAACCATTTGTCCAGTAGATATGTCCATGTTTGAAAGAGTCGGTTCTTCTCCCCAAGAGGATGTACTAGATCGATTCGAAGGTAAATTATTGGACTCATTTTCCCGACTTAAACTAGTAATTCGCGGTGATTCTGGTTTATCTGTTGTCTGTTTAGCATGCATTCTTGCTCTACATAAGTCTTGATAATCCTTCGAAGCTTCCGGATCAGGTGTAGCCAATCCTGCCAATTTGGCTCGAAATTTAGCATGTCGACGAGCAATCATCAATGTGATTATTGCAGCTACAGTGGCAGCACCAAATCCTGAAGCTAATAATATTCCAAGCATAGTTGAATTCATCTCAGATTTTTTACTAACTTCCAACGTTGCAGGTAGTTTTTTCTAAAAACAAAAGATATATATACATTAATTTTTATTTTAATAAAATTATTTCGTCAAGATATTTGAATATATTTAAATAGAGAATCATGTTTATAATAAATTCTGTTTATAATGTGATTTTGTTTGGACAATAAATTTTAAATATGATGATGAATTTAAGATGAACCTTGTCACCTATGCCTGCACGAATCACCTCGACTTCCAGAGTGTCTTTCAACTTGCCGCGTATATCATCTGAGAATATAATATAAAGGATTAATTTTTATATTCAATTATTTTTATAATTTTAAATAGAAATAATAGTAAAAATAATTAATTCATAGATTAATTAACTACCTATTTTGTTAACCACGTCAGTAGCACTATAATTTTGATTATTTTTTTCAACTTTAAATGTCACTTCTGTTCTACCAACTCGAATATCTTTTAAAGAATCAAATTTTAGTCCTAATAATTTTTCCACCTACAAATTAAATATTTATTTGATCTTTTAAAGAAAATTTTTTAAAGTAAAAAATGTATACATTCATAAATTAGCAATTACTTCTTGTACAACATGTTTTGCTTCTATCCAAGCATGAAATGGTTGCTGAAATTCTATGTAAACATGATCTAGATCAATATTATTGTAGGATTTTGAACTGTTCGCTTGTTGTACACTTTCTATTTCCTTCTTTGG